CATTCAATCAAGGTACATTTTCCTTTTTCAATTAATTTGTACAGTTGATTTATGTTCAAGCTCTGAATTTCCACATAACAATATCTTTAGTGTTTTTTTTTTTTTTTTTTTTTTGAAGTTGCAATAAACATGCGTATATATGCGCATACACACATATATATATTCCATTACCTATTTTCAAAAATATACACATATATATGCACTACTTTCCATCCCCCCTTCTTCACATTCATTTTTCTCCTCTGAAAAGTTAAAAGCTTTATTTTTTTTTTTATCATTTTAATAAATAACATGGTTTTTTCTTTAGACAATATTCTCCTACCTCTTCCAAAGGATTAGACTCTAGCTATTCTCATTTTTGACTTTGTCGCATTTTGGTTTCTACTTTATGGGTAATGAAAATATTTTATGTAGGTACATAGAGCTATTCTCATTTTTGACTTTGTCGCATTTTGGTTTCTACTTTATGGGTAATGAAAATATTTTATGTAGGTACATAGAAAGTACATCTGAGCTATCTGTGGAGAAACTTTATGCCGGGTGTATTCTTTCTTTTGTCATTCTACTAAGTAATTTGGAGAAAGCACAACCATTTAAAACAAGTACTTTTTCTTCTTTCAATTTATTTTTGAATAAATGATTTAACAAACTGTTTTCTAACATATTTTTTTCTTGGATTCTACTCTTCCTCATTCAAAGGATTAGATTCTAGATGTAGCTGTTTATGAAATTGTTTGAAACTACTTTTATACCTTCTTACCTCTACTGCACACTCATCTGGCCTTGACAACCATTCTTGAAATGAGAAGACACACTCCTCCATTTTGTGCTTAATATCCACAGAAATGATTTAGCCTGTAACTGTTTTCACTGCAGAAGCCTTCCTCAGCAAACCAACTGCTTTCACTGCAAAATTAGAAAGTGCTGCTCTAGTATCATTCCACTTTCCCTGCCTTCTTCTCTTCATTGCCTCGTTATTTCTAAGGTAAATGATAACAACTGCTTTCACTGCAAAATTAGCAATCGCTTTTTCTCTCCATTTTTAAATCTATTAACTTATTATCTCGCATTGTATTATCTATTTGATATGCAGATAGGCATCATATCATTTGGGATAAAATCTACTGCGTTTTCTGCCTTCTCAGAGTTAGAAGCACAAGTTTTCAGGCCAGCAGGTATAGTATTTTAATTCCCATATTTTCTTCACATTCATTTTTCTTTTCTTAGTAGCGTTTTTTTTTTTTTTCTTTTTTGATAATTTACTAATTTTAGTATATGACGTAGTCCTTTCCTTGGATTATCTATACTTTCCTCCCTCCTTTAAAGGATTAGATTCTGGATTGTCTTCTTCATTTTTAACTTTGTTGCATTTTGGTATCTGCCTTAGGTACATGAAACGAAATCTTTCACCTGTGGATATAGAAAATTAAGTAGAGCAATATGGGAAGAAACCTTTCGCCAACATTTCCTTTGTCATTCTAAGTCACTAGGAAAAAAACACCAACAAACTTAAGTAAGGTACATAGATGATCTCGGGTTCGGTTAAAACTCGTGCCCTTTAATTCATTTTAGCTATTTCACATTTTTTACTTTATATATAGGCAATTTAAGCATTGATTAGAAGTTAAAACTTTAAAATTTTATTTTATCTTATTATATTATAAAAATTATCAAAAATTTTAATAAATTTCAAATAAATATTTAATGAACCTTTGAAAATTCTTTTAAAAACTTAAATAAATATGCAACAGTGTTTTAAAATCCCTTTACAATCTGAAATAAATAGACAATGAATATTTTTAAAAAAATCCATTGAGGGGTTGAACCCTAATTAAATTAAGGGTCTTTCTAATATGCTAATGATACAATTTATTGCAATTTCACCATTAATTTATATAGAGAATTACAAATATAAACTTTATTTTTAACACCAATGTCACGTGTAACTATTTAATTGAATGGTTAATAAAATTTAAGTCAGCTTATATTCTTTCTATGCAAATTAATAGTGAAGAGATACAATAAATGCACATTTATGGCAAATATTAAAAAATTCTTAAATTAAATTAATACCTTTTTTTTTTGTTGAATTAAACACCCTTTTAAATTTTAGTTTTCTTGATGAACACAATACATATAATTTTTTTTATTAAATTAATTTTTTATATAATTTTACTATATTGTAAAAATGAAAATGCTATTAGTTACAAAATCACGTAATATTGTAAATTTACAACATAATGTATATTTATATAATTTACTTTTTTCATTTACGAGTTTACTTGTAATATCATATGTGTTCACTCATTTAATGACACATTACACTCATTTAATATTATATAGGATTGTAAGCTTATAAATTTACATGGCATTATAATAAAAATTGTTAAAATCTTCTATAAATATTGAATAAAT